ATGGAGGCGTATATTGCCGATTGAGATGGGTAGCTGGGTTTAAGGATGTGTGGGCTCTGGTAGAAGGAGGACTCGTAACCACCTTTGTGTGCGTTTTACATGAGATACCCACTATCCGGTTGAAACTGCTTTAGTCCAGTGAGAGTCTCTAGTGTGTACTTATATTTATCAATTATATAAATATGGAATTAGCTAATTACGTGATGTGTCTACTAATAATGAATATGTGTGGATGAGTTAATTTCCACACGGATAAAAGGAATAATGAAATTTGAAATTAAATAATCAAAGTTTTTATTTCATGGATTTGTGAATTCCGATGACGGAATTCCGTTTGTTAGGGGGGAAGAATGTAATACCCCGATAATTTTAAAAAATTTATTAATTAGGATTAATTATTTTATTTTATTTTTCAATGATTTATTTTATTTTATTGAGTGCTAGATTAATTATCTTATTTTAATTAAGTTATATTTCGTGATTATGTATGATGATTGATTGTTTGTGTGGTTGATTATTGATTGAATTATTGGTGTGTTGATTTTATTGGTATTATATGACTTAGTTGTAAATTCTTGTTTGTTTATGTGCTTCATGTAATTAGTTATTTTAATTTCTGTATTTAATTAATTATCTTATTTATTTAAATTAATTGGATTGGGCTTAAGGAAAGTTGGACCAAAAGATGTGGTCTTGGGCTTGTATGAAACCTTATTGGGTTAATTAATGAAGGTCCGTGGTTATTTAATTATTTAAATGATCACTTTTGTATCAATTATATATATATATATATATATATATATATATATATAATTATATATAAATATAATTAATTAATAATTGTTATGAAAAGATATATATATAGATATATATTTATTGATATTTATAAGTATATATGATTTAATTAACTAATGAGTTAATTATGGAAGGTTATTATTTTAATTCATAATACTAGTTGGAATAGGATTTGGAATTTAAGGTGTATATATATATATAGATATATATTTATTGATATTTATAAGTATATATGATTTAATTAACTAATGAGTTAATTATGGAAGGTTATTATTTTAATTCATAATACTAGTTGGAATATGATTTGGAATTTAAGGTGTATAAAAATACACATAAGGCTTTAGGGTTAAAGGTTTTACACGTTAGAAAAATAAAACAGACAGAGAGAGAGGAAGAAGAAGGGCTGACAAGGAGAAGGTCGGATCTGAAAAGGAGGACGTCGGAATTGGAAGAGATAATTAAAGCTTAAAGCGTCGGTTTCGTTTCGAAACCTTCAGGCGAGTTTTCTCTAACTTTCCTCTTAGAACTCATAAGGATTTCACCTTGAGTATCAAGGCTTTAATTAAATTTATTTGTTTAAAAATTATGGTTAGATCGGAATAATTAAAAAGTATAAACTATTATATTTGATTTTTAGATTATTGGATTTTAATTGATATATATAGGTGTTATGTATATTTTAAAATCAATCTATAGGTGGATTTGTGACCCAAGAGAGTTAATTATGGTTTCTTTATTTTCTAGAATTGTTCTGTAATTTTCTGGAAGATGATTAAAATATCATCTATGGTTGTTGTATGTATGGATTGGATTAGGGTTAGATATTCTTAAATGAGAATAGTTTAGTACTTACTGGTTAGTGTATTATTTTACATTAATAAAATAATATTGAGGAAGACGTGGATGATTTGTCAAAACTTGGATTTTGGATATGTGATTTAAACAATTAAAATCATTATCGGGTTGGGATTAAATAGAGTATTTCTTTTATTATAATTTGTTGTTTAAATGATTAAACAACTGACTAGGATGGGATTAAGGTCAAAGGAGTTTTTATAAAATGAAATGGTAGATTGGTCTAGGTATGAATATTATTTTAATAATTATTTAATAGGTATGGAAATTTAATAAACCTATTAATGGATGTGATTAGTATAGTATATATAATTATATATAGACATGTATATCGTGCTTTATTAAAGTTAAAACTTTATTAGGTTTGGTTTTGATCAGAGATGATCTGCTTATTGGTTTTCAGAGGCCTGGTAGAGTGAACTTGCTCGTAGGGTTTAACCCACGATTTATTTTTCAGGTTATTAGAGGTTCCAGTCTCGAGGTTGAGGATCCGCAGCTGGGAGACTGTCATTCGTCTATTCATCTTGTGTACTTTTAAATAGTATTGGATTATTGGATAATATTTTAAGGGGTCCTTGAGTTATGGGATTTCCGAATTGTAATTGTTGGAGAATCATTAAGTAATATTTATTTATTAGTTTTCTTCAGCGGTTTATTTATTCTTTATTATTCATCTTTGTATTCTGTGCTTGTTAAATACTTAAATTGTTTTGATATCCCTTGATTTTGTGCGCGGACTTGATCAATCCGTGTTCCAAAATTAGGGGGTATCACAATAGACCTATTTTATGTTTCTCTTCTCTCTGCCGCGTCCTCTTTCTCTCTCGCTGCTTTATTTTTTCTTTTTCATTTGCAACTTCAACCCTTGATTAATTCCTCAATTCTTGGTATTTTGAAAAGCCGTTTGCGGCAAATTGAAGCTCACGGCGAAGCCTATAAGTTGATAGGAGCAATTTCTAGTTTGGTGCACTCCTTAATTTTCAAAATTTAGGGCATCAATTTGGGGTTTTTCATTGCTTTAGAGGTAGGGGTCTCTAATACTCAAATTCTTGTTCCTTTGTGAGTTTCCCTACTTTAATTGTTGTCAATCATGCTAGAATTGAACTGATAATCTCTTAAATGATTTTAATTGTGTATGTGAAGCATGCTATTATGTGTATTTGTTGTTCTACATGGAAAGTATGCCTAACTGTTGATCTTCTATACTTGTTGTGTTCATTAAATTGTTAAATATTGTTATGAGGAACAATGCTAGTTGTGTAACATTAATTTTTCCTTGTTGATTTTCTATGCTTGTTGTATTCATTAAATTATTAAAAATTGTTATGAGGAAGCATGCTAGTTGTGTAACATTAATTTTTCCTTGTTGATTTTCTATGCTTGTTGTGTTCATTAAATTGTTAAAAATTGTTATGAGGAAGCATGCTAGTTGTGTAACATTAATTTTTCCCAAATTTTTATGGTATTAAAAAGGCATGTAACATGCATTCAAAGCATGCATTCAAAGTATGGGGTATGAAAAGGGTGAAATGATTTGAAAAAGATGAAAAAGGGAATTTTGGGGAGAATTTGATGAAACGGTTTTTGAGAAAAACCCGGTCGCCGCGGAGTCACCAGAGGGCCGGTGTGTTAATATAGCTTAGAGGGAACTAGGGAGATTGCCCTAGCGTGGTTGAGCTATCTGGGCCCCAAATGACGTTGCGGAGGTACCAAAGGTCAGGGACAGTAGCCAATCCTTCTCTCATGTCGCTGCGGAGTCACCAAAGGGCGGGTTATATCAACAGTTTGTGAAGTGATGATATTTTTCTGAAAATAGGGAGTGACATGCATAACATTGCATTTATGGCACGAGATTTATTTGCTTTGAACTTAGAATTGATATTGTGTTTTCTCGGCTTTGCATGACCCCAAATTCCTATTGTCCTATTCCTTGGTTGGATTCACGGGGACACAAGAGGTATGTCTTAGGCACCACCTACTGAGCAATTTTGCTCACCTCTTTTACTTAACATTTTTTACAGGAAACGAGAAAGAAGTGGCGGATGACATTTTACCACAAACTTAGTATGGATTAAGAGCTTATTTTGTTGTTTTTGTACTTGGGTTACTTTATTTTTGTAAGACTAAACGTAATGTATTTTGTACGACGACTTATAGACTTTTAATATTTTAATTATACCTATGGGCTGTAACTTTTGTATGAGCTGTTTAAACGTTGTAAAACATGGACATTAGATATTAATCTTGTATTTTGGGACTGTAATTATGATACCTGGATGATATAATATGTGGTTGTACCACCATGGAATGTATTATATGTTTATTGTGTTGGGACAAGTTAAAAAATGCTTTTAAACATGTTGTTGTAGGACGATTTTTAGCGGAGGTCATGCCGAAATTTTCTTTTTTCAATGGTATCAGTTTAGGGTCGTTACAAAGCCTCACTAAGATGACCGGCAACAACAAGTCACGACCCATAGTCAATGGCGGTCGGAGGGGAGGCAGCTCTGAACAGAGCTAGAAAAAGGAGCAGCGAACCTGTTTCAATAACACGTCCAACGCGCAACAACCCGAAATAAGAGATAAAATCCGGCACGCAGGACCAAGGAAACAACGCACCCTTCCCAAAGATCGAAACCGACGACAGGAAATCCCTTGCCGCAACCCACCAGAACCCAATACGCAGGGCCACAGAAAGCATGATCACAACAACCACCCGACGCGGACAAGCAAAAGGCTAGAAAACAGTAGGACGACCATAAAATCCAAGCAAACCAACCAAATACCGAGATCAATACGGAAACCCAATGGAAATTGGCCAAAAACCCATCCACCGTTCAAAACCTTCGAGCTAACAACCCAGAAGAGCCAAAGTGCCATCGGGTCCGACCACCCACGCAAACCGTTGCCGAGATGGAGGAGGAAAGCCATCCCATAGAAACACCCAAACACAAACTCTGAAAACAGAGAACCCCTGCGAAGAGGAGAGGAACCTCTCTATTGATTAAATATTATATAATGAGTACTCCCACCATGTCTAATATTTTTCCATAAAATGGACACGTATTGATTTTTTTTTTTTTTTTTTTTTTTTTTTTTTTTTTTTTTTTTTTTGCAATCACCCGACTCTTCTTGTAATTACTTTGAGGCAAGGAATTCCAATTCTCTTACATCACCCTCAATATTTATTTATTTATTTGGGAAGTACATGCTCCCAGAGGTGGATTATACTCCTATACGGCACTATATACAATCGAATGAATGTGACCTGGGAAAATATATCTTTATATATATATATAGATATGAATGTGGATGCAGACAGGACCACAGGCCGGCCAAGAGTTCTGAAATTTCAATAGAATGTTGCGACAGTTTGTCAGCATCCACTTGTTGTTTAAGCTTGAAGTCAAAACAGTTTCTCGCTCTACAATTGACACCGTCTTTTTTTTTTGATTAGTAAGAATATATTACAATTGACACCGTCTTTGCAGTCCTCTTCCCGAATTCTAGAGAGCGTAAGAGAGACAGATAGAGAGGCAGAGAAGAGGAGAAATATTCTTGAGTTGTAGCATCTGGAATGGAGTCGATGGACTTTGAGGCAAGTTCTAGCAGTTCTCTGTACACTCCATCCACGTCCCTTCCTCTTCCTGGTGGCGAATACGATGTCTTCTTAAGTTTCAGAGGCCCAGACACTCGTCTCACCTTCACCGATTTCCTCTACACCTATCTCGAAGACGTTGGAGTTCGAACCTTTCGAGACGATAACGAGCTTCGCAGAGGAGAAGAGATCGGACCAGAGCTCCTCAAAGCCATCACTGAGTCGAAGATCTCCATCCCAATTTTCTCCAGAAACTATGCTTCCAGCAAATGGTGCCTCCGCGAGCTCGCCCAAATGGTGGAGTGCAGGAGAACATTAGGGCAATTGATTTTACCCATTTTCTACGATGTGGAACCCTCGGATGTGAAGCATCAATCTGGGTTTTATGAGGAGGCGTTCCGCGAGCACGAGAGGTGTTTGGATGACAGGACTGTTGGGAAATGGAAGGAGGCATTGAGAGAGGTTGGAGCACTCAAGGGCTGGGAAGTCAAGAAAGAAGCTGATGGGTATGTTAATCCATTCCTATTATTAATACCCTTATTTTATAAATTTCATTGTAGTCTTAAAGAAGTTTTATAGTGTAGAATTGAAAATGGGACGAGATCACAGAATTTTACATCAATTGCCAGACATTATTTTTCATGTAATTGGACCATTTGAGCTGGGTTATTCATGAAACAGATTTATGGGTACTGAATCAAGGACATGTTTGTATTAGGTCGGTAATTTGATTCTAGATATAGATATTTGAGTATAGGTAAGAGAGGAATTTTATTTTCTGTTCTCAAGAACTTATACGAATGGTATATTGTGTATTGCAAGTAAAGCAGGGGCTAATCCATATAATGAAACTCTCTGTCTCTTCTTCAGCAACTGGGAGAATAAGAACCTAAAACCATGATCTTAGCATATAGGTGTCATTGATTTTCTAGTTGCAGATCTCAAGCTGGTAAAAGTGTGAGTCAATCCATGTTAGGATAGTCTCTTACTGTGTTCTTTGCATATACAATTTCCTAATGAATTGAATGCAAAAGTTGATGCCATTATTCTTTTCCTTTGTTGTTAACTTTTAATTTCCTTTTAAGGGACTAAGTATTTGTTTATCTGCTCTTGACTTCAATCAGGTATCAAGGAAAACTAATAAAGACGATTGTTCCAACAGTTTTGTTAGAGCTAAAGAAGAATTACATGGTTGTAACTGACAAAATGGTTGGAATCGATCGTCATGTGGAAGAATTAATGAGATCATTGAACATTGTATCCAATGATGTACGGATTGTTGGAATCCATGGCATGGGTGGTATTGGCAAGACAACTATTGCCAAATACATCTACAACAAGCTCCTTGAGTTCTTTCAATGTGGTTGTTTCCTTGCAGATGTTCGAGAAACAGTGCAACAACACAAAGGTTTTGTTAGTTTGCAAAAACAACTTCTTGCTGACACCCTAAAATGGAGCCCTGATGTTTGTGACGTTGATAGTGGAACTAATATGATCAAGCACAGATTTTCTAGAAAAAAAGTTCTCATTGTTCTTGATGATGTGGATGAAAAATCTCAATTTGATAGGCTTGTTGGAAAACGTGATTGGTTTGGTTCAGGAAGTAGGATCATCGTTACAACTAGAAACAAACATGTTTTAAATGCACTTAATGTGGATGGGAGTTATGAACCCCCAGAAATGAATGCTGAGCAGTCTCTTCAACTTTTCAGCATACATGCCTTCAGAAGGGAGCTTCCACCAAAAGAGTACGATAGTTTCTCTAGAGATATTGCATCCACTGCTGCAGGGCTTCCACTAGCTCTTGAAATTATAGGTTCATTTTTATCTGACAAGGAGAAAGTGGTATGGGAAGATACGTTGAAGAAGTTAAGGAAAATACCAGACGATGCAGTCCAGAAGAAGTTGAGAATAAGTTATGAAGCATTGAATTATGAGCAACAACAGATATTTCTCGATATTGCATGTCTTTTTATAGGGATGGATAAAGCAACTGTATTTCACATGTGGGATGACTGTGGCTATTATCCGCATAAGGAAATTAATGTCCTTTGTCTAATGTCTCTAGTAAAAATGGAAGACGATAATGTATTGAGGATGCATGATCAGGTTAGAGATCTTGGTAGGGAAATTGTACGTCAGGAAAATTTCAAGAATCCGGAGAAGCGTAGTAGGTTGTGGAATCATGAGGAAGCCTTGGAAATATTGGAGGAACGGAGGGTAAGAATTCATGAATACACCTATTTTTTCGCCCCTTCTTTAATTAATTAATGTTTTGATGATCCTCATTCTTGTCATCTCATAGTATACACAAAGATAAATGTTTTTTCCCCCCAAATGTTCTCTTCTTTATATTTTTTCCTGAAAGTTATTTGTGTCTTCAATCTTTTTTCCCCGCTTCAATTTTTCGCAAATTTACTCTGGTAATATGCAAGGGGTAGAACATTGGTCTTGAAATAAAATGCTGTCGGACATTTATCTTTTGTAATAAAGACTCCAGAAGCTGCTGAATAGATGGCCTGTCAGCATCATTAAAATTGGATTTCTGAAATCAGAAGCTGTCTTTATCATCAAGAAGTCTCTAACTGTAACTCATTTAAAGACAGAAAGGGAGAGTGATGGGTTGGACTATAATTCCTTCTTCTTCTTCTTTTTTAAACCAATTGGACTTTAATTCATTTTATAGAACTTTCTTTAATGCGTCTGGATTTTTGGGCTTATTTATTTATTTTTTTTACGTGATTTTCATAAGATTGGATTATAAAATATCACACTTTTTTTTTTTTTTGGGTCGAATGGAGCAAAAGAGGTTGGGGGTGAAATTGCTTTTGATCTTCAAGATATTGTTTTCTATGATGTTGGCATGCTGCCATGTTTTTCTACATTAATTTACAAGTCAATATATTATTTTTTGAAGTAATTAAAATGAAGTTGAAAATAAATTCAACGATTAAAATAATAAGATTACATTAATCCCTGATAACCCCACTTCTTTTGTTAGCATTGCGTAAATCTTGTTATTTTGTTTACTTATTAAAGGTTTTTCTTTGGCAGGGAACTGAAGAAGTTGAAGCCTTGAGTCTTTGCTTTGAATTAGGATCTCAGAAGCCTTGCTTTACAAATGAGGATTTTGCAAGACTAGTGAATCTCAGGTATCTCCAACTGGATTGCTCAGACCTTGTTGTGGATTTTAGTCATCTTCTGTCAAGGTTAAGATGGCTCCGTTGGCGTAGTTGCCCTTTGCAATTTAAGCCAACCAACTTTCATATAAAGAATCTAGTCATTCTTGATCTATCAGATAGTGGCATCACAGAAGACTGGGAGGGTTGGAACCAAATCAAGGTCTTGTAGAATATTGCTTCTTCTGTTTCTTGTGTTCCATCATATACTTGTTGGAAATTGAATTTTTTTTTTTTTTTCAGCTGTTTATTATTTTTTATTTTTGTAGCAGGTGGCAAATAATTTAAAAGTTCTAGAACTTGCTAATTGCGGCTTAAGGAGAACACCCAACTTTTCGACCCATGCAACTTTAGAGATATTGGTTCTTCGAGGATGTCAAAAATTGGTTGAAATTGATTCATCCATTGGTCATCTGAAGAATTTGGAAGTGCTTGACATTTCAAATGCTCAAGTAAGGAAGTTACCTGATGAAATTTGGATGTTAGAGAAGCTGGAAGTGATAGATGCCTCAAAATGTCATGACTTGGAGGGAGATATTCCTAGTAACATTGGGAGACTTTCATCTTTGAGATTCTTGAACTTCTATCATACTGGAATTCAAAGTCTACCAACAAGCATTTGGAGGCTTTCTTGCCTCCAAACACTTGACTTAGGATGCTGCGAAAAGTTTCAATTTCTTCCAGAGCTTCCTTCAAGTTTAAAGATCCTGAATGTCACTTGTACATTCCCAAATCTCTCAGGTTTGATTAATTTACAGGAATTGCAATGCTTTGAGTGCCATAAGGTTGTGGAGATTCCTAGAGATATTGCAAAATTATCCAAATTGGGGACATTGAGATTGGAGTCTATGAATATTAGGTCTCTACCAGGAGAGCTTGCTGCACTTCCACAGCTCAAGGTACTCTATGTACAATTCTGTGCAAATCTTCAAAGTATCTCGGGGTTTCCCTCAACTCTGGTTGAGCTATCTCTTGATTGTTGTGGATCATTGGAAAGATTACCAGATCTGTCAAATTTGAAAAGTTTGTTGGAATTAACCCTTGCTGGGTGCGATAAGCTGACAGAGGTTCAAGGGCTTGGAGAATTAAAATTATTGACAAGTTTGGACATATCGGGTTGCGATAAGCTATCTAACCTTGATTGGCTTGAACAGTTGACATCGTTAACATCCTTGGAGATGCATGAATTCGAATACCTTGAAAGGACACCAGATCTGTCAAACTTAAAAAGGTTAAAAAGATTAAATACTTTTGATTGTCAAAAACTTATTGAGATTCAAGGGCTTGACAAATTGGAATCACTGGAAGAATTGATTATGAGTGGTTGCAAATCCATTGTAAGATTACCCAATCTCTCAAACTTAAAAAGGTTGGCACACTTGGAACTCGATAATTGCAAGAAATCACGGAAGATTGAGGGCCTTGGGGCTCTTGAATCCTTGAAGATGTTGGACGTGTCAGGTTGCACATCACTGAGAAGCATACCTAATTTGCCAAACACACTTGTTTGGCGGTTCAAGGATCCGGACTTTTGAAGAATTAAAACCATAATAGTTTTGGACAATTCTGGTGCAAGTGAATTTAGAGACTATTAGATTTGTCAGACACAGGTATGGATTTATTTCAAATCATTGTTTGGATTTGGAATAGTATTTTCGGAAAGCTATATGATTTTATGGTTGTATCTCAATATTTTATTAAATTACTATTTGGTACTTGCAAGAGAGCTTTTTTCTTCACTGCTTTCTAATAATCTTTTCTTTCTATACATCTCAGTTCAAGTTATGGCTGGAGAAGTTCATGAAATGCTCAAATATCAGTAATCAGTAATATTAGCAACTAGCAAAACTCTTTATGCTGATAAGGAAGGAGTGGTCATTTACGTCAAATCAACCACCTAAATATTAGCCTTCTGAAGGATCTCCCAAATCAGCATGGGTTATTAGGAACATGGTAATTTTTCTCTGTACTTTGCCCTGATGACTCAATAGTGAATAGTCTCGTGCAATTATAGAACATTTGTAATTCTACAGCAATATTACTCTCTTGGTCATACACAAATTTGCGACTCTCTCTCTCTTTCTTTTTGGTGTGTGCACCTGCAGGCGCTACATGACTTCTGAGCCAATCATGGCATTTAATTAGATTCTCTTATGTTGACATGAGTGGCGAATGTGGAAGTTGATGTTGCTGCTATCATTCCACTCTTCTGTCGCACGCGCATTGGTGGTCGGTTGAGGTGAAAGTATTGTGGAGAGGAGATTCCTTGGACACACTCTGATTTCAGATTCAACTATATTTGCTTTGTTGATCATTGAGTTGACTACTGATCAGTTGAATGACACTTCTTCTGGACATGGAACTCTGAAGCTATTTAAGACTCATCCGAAGGTGAAGGGTTGGTTCACTGGCCACAAGTATCTCGAGAGGCCTTCCCAGAGGCAATTATCTGCAATGATTTCCAAAGGGACCGAACAGGCATTGGCTGTCAGACCTCTTCTTCATAGATAAGGTTGTACCTGGCATAATACCTAGTAAAAGAACCTTTCATCCTCATATAAGCTCGACGCCTTCTCTCTGTGAACTCTCGAAGATTATCATGAGCATCTGTTTACCATTAACACTTGATGTGCTTTGTCAAATGCCTCAATTGAGAGCAGGCAGTTTCACGGAGCTTATGCATGCCTGTTGTTTAGCTTATAAGTTATATTACGCTGTTTCTTCTTGTTAGTTTTGTTTGACATTTTATGACTTTCTGATTGACAGGTTTCAACTGAAGAAGAGAGCCGCTGGGCATGGTTTGATACCGGCAATATCAACTCATGACAGTGACGACTAACTCTGTCAATTGCTCTCTGATTGATGGGAGAGAGTGTCCATGAGTGTGAGTTTCCACTCTCAACATCATCTCTCCCATCTGAGCGCATTCTTTGGAAGCACCTGAGGTAAAGCTTGGTGAAGAGAGATAATTGCTTCAACCACAGCTAGTTGTTCAAGCCCATTAACAACAGCTCGCTTGAAACTGTTGATAGCATCTACTACTACCATAGTAGAAAAACCTCCATTGGATGATTTGGACACTGGTGTTTTTTTTTTTTTCTGTGTTTTTTTTTTGGGTAAGTAATTTGAACACCGGTGTTCTAGGGGTTTAATGCAACTGCTCTTTACATTATTTTGAGACTCCTATCAATTTTAGCGTTTGAATGTATTAATAACTCATTCTATTATATTTTGATAGCGTTTAAAACGGGTCTCTTGATAATAGATTTAAGGACAATTACTATTAAGTCCTACTTTTCTTGCTGACAAAACAAATAAATTCCTATAATTCTCAATAGGATCAATAAGTCCCACTTCAAATCTTTTTCTTTTTAAGTTCTACATAACTAAACCTTTCAATTATATCCTTGCCAAATAAAAAAGTTTCACAATTATAATTTCTATTTGAGAATTGATGTGTAAGCCTTCTTTTTGCTTTTATGTTCTTTTAAGTTTGGTTAATTAATGAATATTGTATTCTAAATTTAAATTATAATTAATTTAGTTAAAGTTCAAATCCAAAAATATTATCTAGAAATTAAGAAGATGATTTTTAATGTATAAAATTTTAAAACTTCTATTAAAAAAGTCAAAAAAAAAATATTATTATTTCTTCTTATTCAAATAATTTGAATAATTTTTTATACATTAGAAACTTAGACTAATTATTTTGAAAATAAAATATACTCAGTATATAACTTAGAAAAATTCAATCGCGAATAGGAAAAATTTAGACATGTTAGATCAATTTTTTGTGTAGAATTATAATTGTAAAATTTATATTATTATACTTTTGTAAGAGTATAAATGAAACATTGATTGGTTTAGAACTTGAAGGGAAAAAAATGTTTCCAAAAAGTGGTAAAATTCATTTTTCTTATTGATATTGAATCAATATGTATTTTAATGAGGTATGAATCGTTATGCACTTTAACCAGATTTTTTACGTGAAAAAAAAAAAATTAAAAAATGTTAAAAAATTTCTTACACTTTTAGAATAGGTACTATTATAATCCACGTGAAATGCATGTGAGGAAATAAATATTTTATAGTATAAATGAATTTTAATTTGGAGAAAAAAAAAACAATTTTTTTTATAAAAGAATTCACAAAAAAAAAATAATAAAAAAATTACTCTCTGAAATTAAAAATGTTAAAAGAATTTGAAGAATCAAAAATTAAAATTAACCTTTAATTACACTTTTAATGGATTGCATTAATGTAAATGCTTTTAAAGAAGGCTATTTACTAAAGTGTAATTTAAAACGTTAAAGAATTTAAAGAATCAAAAATTTAAATTAACCTTCAATTACAATTTTTAATGTTACACTTTAATGTAAATTCTTTTAATCAAGGCATAAACTTTATTTTTTTTTATTTAAAAAAATGTAAAGTATGGTCACTTGGTATGTGAAAATTGAAATCCTTGAGATATGAGAGTTATGAATATGATCCTTTAGATAATTAATAATTGTACGTGTGTATGTATATTAATGAAAGAAATAAAGTATATATATCAAATGATTCTACAACTTTTAAGTGTTTTAGTGAGACTTATTATGAAAAAAAAAAATGTTAAGAAAAAGAGAACAGGCTTACATTTTAAGAATAGAAAATTAGACAAATTACTTTGAAAATAAAATATGTAAATAAAAAAAAATTTAGTTGCTAATAGAAAAAATGTAGACATGTTTAAATAACCAATTAAAAACAAATTTGATTACATATCAATTTTTGTATAGAATTATAATTGTAAAATTTAATTACATATCAATTTTTGTATAGAATTATAAGAGTATAAAATGAAACATTGGTTGGTTTAGAACTTCAACGGAAAAAAAAAAAAAAAAAAATGTTCGAAGAAGTGGAAATACTTTTTTGCCTTATTGAAATTAAAAATTATAAGAATTATTCATTTGTCGTCAGAAGAGGTCTTGGTTATTGGTATCAACAAAACGACGCCGAAAGATGCCACTTTTGGGCCTTGGCGTAAGATGAATTGTCCTTTCCCTGTTGAGTCGTTGACTTGAGACTTGGAAAAGCTAACTTGGCCATTGGGGGTTCTGTAGGAGAGATCGATCTGCGGGTGGTGAAAGATAATCAAGAAATTAGGTTTCTGTTCACTTTAACTTGATTGATTTGGAAAGATTATTGGGGTGTTTTGAATTTGCAGACCTAAAGCCCTAATCAGAAATTGGGATACTGTTGCTGATCGATGGAGAAGAAAAGAAAGGGGAAAATTGAAAACCCTCACCGATCTGTAAAAGTGGAAGAAGATACAGAAACTTATGGGGACTCTGTAGGAGGAAGAGAATATGAAGTCTTTTTGGGTTGCAGAAGCTCAGACACTGCTTGCCACGCCTTCTCCGATTATCTGTACAATCATCTCATGCGCGTACGAGTTCGCACCTTTTGGGACCATAAATATCATCATCCCCGAGGAGTCCAAGAAGAAATGACCGACATGACAATAGACGATTCGGATTCGAGGAAGCTTCGGAGGGTAGATAGTGGTGCCGAGGGGGCGGACTCGGCGCTGCGGACGCTGAAAGCGCCGCGAATTCGATGGACGACTCAATTGCACCAGCGGTTCGTTGACGTTGTTGCTCATCTGGGTATCAACAATGCCACGCCGAAGAAGATTACGAAGTTGATGAATGTTGAGGGCTTGGGGCGCGATCACGTAGAGAGTCATCTGAACATGTACAGGCTTGTGCTGGGGTCGTCGAGTCAAGGTTTGCCACCATCCGATCATCTCTTAGCGTCGAAGGCTGAGCCGCAGAGCTCACTTGAGTCAGGCGGGAGTGGACATCAGTCCACATTGATCATTCCAGGTCTCATCATACCCATCAAGGGGTCGAAAATCTCAATCCCAATATTCTCCAAAAACTATGCTTCCAGTATATGGTGCCTCCGTGAGCTCACCCAGATGGTGGAGTGCAAGAGAACCACAGGACAATTGATTCTGCCAATCTTCTACGACGTCGAACCATCTGATGTGAAGCATCAATCTGGGTGTTACGAGGAAGCCTTTCGCGAGCACGCCAATTGTTTCGACGTAACAACTGTTAAGGCATGGAAGGAGGCATTGAGAGAGGTTGGAGAACTCGAGGGTTGGGACTTGATCAGAGAATCTCAGTCTGACTGGTAATTCGATCATTTAATTATTATCCTGCTAGTAATTATAACCAAGCCCCTTATTTTATTGCATATATAGTCTTCATAGTTAATACAGTAAGGCAAAGTTGTTTGGAATTCATGAAACCATAAACAACACTAAGCAAGATGCTTCTGGCAACTTCTTATATTAGAAATTAAAAATAAATTAGACTGAAAGAAACAAAAGATTTAAGAGTTTAAAAATGATCAAAAATAAATAATTATAACTTAAAATCAGAGTAAAGAAAGTAGAAATCATTTTATTATTTACTTTGATTTCCTTGGCAATAATTACTCGTTCTGTTTTCCACCTTTGACATAAATTAGGGATGGAGGAGAAAACTTCATAAAAGAGAGTATTGTTCCAATGGTGTTGTTAGAGTTAAAGAAGAATTATGTGGTTGTGACTGACAACTTCGTTGGAATGAATCACCACGGAAATGAAATGTTCAGATTATTAAACATGGACTCCAATGAAGTACGGATAGTTGGTATCCATGGCGTCGGTGGTATTGGCAAGACAACTATTGCCAAATTCATCTACAACATGCAATTCGAGTTCTTTGAATGTTGTAGCTTCCTTTCAGATGTTGGAGAAATGACGCAACAACGCAAGGGAGTTGTTAATTTACAGAAACAGCTTCTTGCTGACATTCTAAAAAGGTGTCCTGACATTGCTGATATTGATAGTGGAATCGACGTGATTAAAGACATAGTTGTCAAAAAGAAAGTGTTCATTGTTCTTGATGATGTGGATAAAAGCTCTCATTTTGTTAGGCTTTTGGCAAAGCGTGATTTGTTTGGTTCAGGAAGTAGGATCATAATTACAACTAAATACAAACATCTTTTGGATGATCTTAAAGTGGATGCGACTTATGAACCCCCACTAATGAATTCTGAACAATCTCTTCAACTTTTCAGCATGCACGCCTTTAGAAGCAAGTCTCCTCCACCAGACTATTTCACCATCTCTAGAGAGATTGCATCTGCTGCTGCAGGGATTCCTCTAGCTCTTGATGTTATAGGTTCATTTCTATCTGGCATGGAGAAAGCGTTATGGGAGGACACATTGAAGAAATTGGCGAAAATATTGCATGATGAACTCGAGAAAAAATTGAGGGTAATTTGTGAAACATTAAATTATGCACAACGACAAATATTTCTCGATATTGCATGCCTTTTTTCTGGGATGGAAAAAGCAGCTGTGTTTTACATGTGGGATGATTGTGGCTATCATCCAAAAAAAGAATTGAATGTCCTTTATCTAATGTCCCTGATAAAAGTTGGAGATGCTGATGAGCTGAAGATGCATGATCAGTTTATAGCTCTTGGCAGGAAAATCGTCTATGAAGAAAAGGTTCGGGGCAATCGTAGTAGGTTGTGGAATCATGAGGAAGCCTTGAACATATTGGAGGGACGGAGGGTAAGATTTGAGAGCATTGAATTTTATAGCCCTTACTAACTGAAGTAGGTTGTGAAATCTGGTCATAATATGTTGTATATTTATTTTTTTCCATTGACAGGGAACAGAAAAGGTTGAAGCCCTAAGTCTTCACTTTGATTTAGGGCCTGAAAAGAAGCCTCGCTTTACAAGTAAGGAATTTGCAAAACTAGTGAATCTAAGGTATCTCCGAGTTGATGGCACTGACCTGGTTGGGGATTTTGAGCATCTTCTGCACCGATTAAGATATCTTAATTGGCGAAGATGCCCTCCGCATTTTAAGCCAATCAATTTTCATTTGGAGAATCTAGTCGTTCTTGATCTGTCAGATAGTGGCATCACAGAAGATTGGGGGGGTTGGAATCATATCAAGGTATTTTATAATATCTATATTTTTGTTTCTTCTATCCAATAATGCTTCTGTTTAAAAATAATCCTTTTCTGTTATCTATTCTCTCTTTTAATAGATGGCAAACAAGTTGAAAGTTCTACAACTGGCTAATTGTGCTTTAAGGAGAACACCTGACTTTTCATCATATGCAGCTCTAGAGATATTGATTCTTCAACGGTGTAAAAGTTTGGTCGAAGTTGACCAATCCATTGGTAAACTGAAGAATTTAAAAGTGCTTGACATTTCATATACTGATATAAGGAATTTACCTGATGAACTTTGGATGTTGGAGAAGCTGGAAGTGATGGATTTCACACATTGTAGCTATTTGAGGAGGCACATTCATAGTAATATTGGGAGTTTAACAGCTTTGAGATTCTTGAGCTTTTATGATACCAAAATTCAAAGCCTGCCAATGAGCATTTGGGATCTCTCTTGCCTCCAAACCCTTAAATTAGGAGGCTGCGAAGAGCTTCAATCATTTCCACAGCTTCCCTCAAGTCTGAGGAGTCTGGATGTAGCTTCTACCCCTAATGAAATAAATCTGGTTAATTTACAGGAGTTACACTTGGTAGGGGGCAATGAGTATGTGGAGATTCCTATAGATATTTGGAAATGTTCCAAATTGGAGAAGTTGACCTTGGATTCTACCAACATTAGGATCCTACCAAAAGAGATTGATTCCCTTTCTCAGCTGAAGGTGCTCGATGTACAATTCTGTCACAATCTTCAATGTATACTGGGGTTACCTTCAAGTCTAGTTGTTTTGTCTTTTGCATTCTGTCATTCACTAGAAAGATTGCCGAATCTGTCAAATTTGAAAAAATTGTTGAGATTATCACTTCGAAGTTGTGTTAAGCTGACAGAAGTTCAAGGGCTTGGAAATTTAGAATCATTGATGAGGTTGGACATATGTGCATGCGATATGTTAGCTAACCTTGTTCCGCCTAAACAGTCACCACATGCTTGCAATAATTTAGGTGAGATTGAGCCTTGCCTTGAGGCTCTGAAATCTTCGGAGGAATCTGACCAGTCAACGCGCCTCCCTTCATTACACGGGTATGGATTTTATTTCTAGTAATGGCTGTGTGTATTGGGTTACTATTTGGTTTTTGCAAGAAAAATATCTCGGTACTCTTTTGTTTCTATGTATGATTCTGGTTTTGGTTGGAGTAGTTTATGAGATTTACAAAAGCATCAAATATCAATATCATGACAAATGGTATCAAAATTCTCTCTTAACGTCATTTACATGAGTCAACAACCAACCCAACTGTTAGCCCCTGTAGGATGTCCAAAGCGGTTATTCACAATCAAGAGAGGTTATCTGAGCCTACTTAAGACACCAAATTAGATTATTGAAAGTTTAAAATTTTTATTTAGACTATTCAAATGATAATAACTCAGGTCTCCAAAAATCGAGAAATTTAGGCTTTTCAAAGTCGAGAAGATTAGTTTTCCAGTAGTTATTTACATTATGGAAACGTAGACCATCCAACGCCTCTTTTTTCTCTTTTTCTTTTTTCCAATTATTGTTGGAGTCACGATTCATAGTCTGCTTAATTTACTTTGTTTTTATAGGTTTTTTCCCCAAAAGGGTGAAGAAAAATTTAACACAAGGGCACAGGAGGCAAGTGGTGGTTCCGTTGAAGGAGAGGAGAAGATTTGCCACTACAGGGGAGTTCGAAAGAGGCCATGGGGGAGGTATGCTGCAGAGATTCGAGACCCCGGGAAAAAGCGCCGTGTGTGGCTTGGCACCTTCGATACGGCAGAGGAAGCAGCAAGGGCTTACGACGCAGCCGCCATCGAGTTTCGAGGATCCAAGGCGAAGGTCAACTTCCCAAGGGTGAGCTTCCCAAAGGAACTCAATATGACGGTTTTGAAAGCAGAGGAGAGCAAGAGCTCTTGTGTTACCTCAGACCGTGATGGAATAAGTTACGGGAACATTGATGTACAACTTGCAGCACCAAGAGAGTCAAGAGCAGAAGCCCAATGCGATGGATCAGAAGAAAAGAAGGGCGAAAGCAATATGGTGAGAGTGAGTGCTGAGGAAGAGAGCGATACTGAGGAAGAGGGAGAAGTGGTGGATCATGAGACATGCTAATGCTAGAAGAGGATGAGTTTTCACGACAATGTGTTTTCCTCCATGATTGGAGAGAGCAACAAGGTTCAAATCTCTGACTATAAAAGAAAAGGAGTTCCGATTGCTTGGCTAGAAAAGAGGCAGTGAACTAGTGATAAGCAGCACAAACTACTTCGTCTCATTATTTATGTATGACAGTTTGTATTACCTGAGTTCGTACAAAATGAAAGATTAGTGTTTGATTACTCAATTTAAAGCTTATAATGCACATTGAATATTGCTCAAAACGAAAAACCCCACTTTTAATTTTTTTAAAAATTAAAAAATATTTATTTTTTAATTATTACTTAAAACTTTTCAGCATTTAACATTCAACTATTATTTTAATAAAAAGTATTTATTTTTTAATTTTTATTTTTGATATTCGGCAAATGTCTAAATTGATATTGAGGTCGAGTTTATAGGGTAGAGCTTATAAAATAATTTGTCGAAAATTAATAAATAAGTTATTTTTATTAAATTTTTGCATAAATATTTTAAAATAACCAAACACAAATATATATCTAAAAAATATTTTAGATCCAAACAAGCCTAATCACCAAAATTTTAAATAGACCGAATTGAACTTGCCATTTCTCCACTTCACGTTTGTAAATTACATTTACACACACACATAAAAGACAAAATCTCTCTTCTTCTTCAAGGAATATTATAAATTTACACGCATATACACACACTACAATTTTTTCCAACTGGTTTGTCCTGGAAATGAAACCCTTGTAATCTTCTCACAATTGATAACAAGTGCTATTTCTATCCAGGGCCGGCCCTGGCCCAAGGCTACCAAGGCGGTCTCCTTGGGCCTCAGATTTTAGAGGGCCTCAAAATTTGAGGCCCATAGGGGATGGAAATAAGATAAAATAAAAATAAGTTAGGGCAAGTTTCAGACGACACAATCTGCTTCGACACTCCGCAGGGCGCAGCCTCCGCTATCGCCTCAGTTGACAAGGTATGTTCATCCTCTCTCTCCTTTTGCATGAGTCGATCTTTTATATATGTTTCTTTCTTTCGTTCATCTCATCATTTGATTTTTTCTAACTTTGGTTCGTTTGATTCGGGCCTTTACCTTTGTTCCAATAGTGAAAAGTAGCCAGGGTTTTGTGTGTGTCACTGTGTGTATGATGGCTATCAAAAGCTGAATGAATATATTAGGGTTCTCTTAGTATTTTAATAAATGTGTGCCTTTCTACATGTGTCTTTCATGGCGATCGAGTCCATAATCTATTTCCCACTCCCTAAGTCCACTCCAATCTCACAACAGCAGCAACCACACCCCTTTTCCTCATAATTTTTTGCATTTTCACATTCAATCCCACGAAATTTAAGGATCCCTTCTAGTGGGTTGAGGTAATAATTAACTTTTTCGATCTCTAAATTATGCTCATACTTAAAAGTGCCAAATTAAGGGTTTTTTAATTTTAATTTTATTTTTATTTTTATATGAAGATACATACCACCATTATTGATGTTATTTGAAATTGGCTCACCTAGAATTTCAGTTAATAATACTGTCAAAGCACTTGCCATCAGAATGTACAAACACATGAAAATCAATAGCATGCTTCAACAAAACAAAAGTTAATGGTTTTTTTCTATTAATTTGCACAGGTCTTCTGTAGCAATGATCAATCAATCACTGCGGGTAATTTTTTTTTTTTGATAAGTATCACTGCGGGTAATTGGCTCCCAAAAAAACACATAACAAAGTACTGTAGTTCTCTAGTAAACTGTTCACTTCATTTTTTATTTTGTGCCTGTAAAAATTTCGCACTCTTTAATTGATAAATTTATGGGCAAATTGACCTCTTAAGATTAGGTTATTTTTCAGTTAGAGGAAGATTTTGGTTTTACTTTCACTTACACTCTAAATGACTTTTTGGCCTTTAATCTATGCGAATCGACCATTTTATCTTCAATTTTTTAATACAAAATAGGGTAAAGTGCATTAAACCCCCCTGAACTATTAGGGTATGTGCAAGAAACCCCCCTAGACTATAAAAATTGAAAAAAAATCCCTAAACTATTGGGTATGTGCAAAAAACCCCCCTGAATTATAAAAGTTGCAAAAAACCCCCCTGAACTATTAGAGTATGTATAAAAAACCCCCCTGAACTATATATTTTTTTGCAGTTTACCCCATCCAAGCGAATTGATTGATTGAAAGGGACGATGAAGCTGAGGAATTTATTGTTGGGATTGGTGGGTCTCCTGTCATAGTTCCATCATAGCCGTTGCACCACTAGCCAGATCCGTCGGCCATATATATCGCACTTCTCTGCACCGTTGCGTCAGCCCATCGCCGTCACCGCCTTGTCCACCGTTCAGCTTACCTTGCTCGCCGGTCCATTCCACCGTCCATTCCAATCTCGCCGGCCCATTCCGCCATCTCCATAACTGAGCACATCGCCGTCCGTGTTTCGAGCACACAACCGTCCATAGTTCACCGCCGAGCCCCCTTGAGCTCGCCGCCGCCTCCACAGTTCACGGCCGAGTCAACCGAGCTCTCATCACAGCCGAGTCCTCCACGCACAAGCCACCATCATCCGAGACCGAGCCATCCCGCCAACCTCGGATTTCTTTGGTCTCTTCTTTCACTCTCTAGCTCTCAGTTTTGGGTTGTGTTGGGTGAAAGACATCTTTTGGCAAAAATAAAAGTAAGAAGTATATAAGTTAAAACGACGCAGTATACGTGTTATAAGGATAAACTGGTCTTTCAAAATTTTCAGTACCGAAAGCTGATGTCATGGGGGTAAATTGCAACAGAATCATAGTTCAGCGGGATAAATTGCAACAAAATCATAGTTCATGGGGGGTTTTTGTAGTTCAGGGGGTTTCTTGCAAATGACCAATAGTTCAAGGGGATAAATTACAACAAAATCATAGTTCAGGGAGTTTTTTTAGTTCAGGGGGGTTTCTTGTAAATGACCAATAGTTCAGGGGGTTTAATGCACTTTACCCTACAAAATATATGTAATCTTAAATGACCAAAAAACCTCTCTCTCTCTCTCTCTCTCTCTCTCTCTCTCTCTATATATATATATATATTCAAGCGCTGGCTCTGACATAATCCAAATGATTTCTTTGAATTTTTCAAAAATAATTTCTACTTTAGCGTTTTGTCCTTAGAAGATAGAGTTTAGAATCGGGCCTGGATTTGATTTTCATACTCAAAATCTGAAAATCAAAGTCCATTAGCAGACAAAGAAGATAAAACAAACTAAGAAAGTCAGGAAAATGAAGAAAGAATAAGGAATCTAAAGAAAATGGAAATAACTTTTTTCTAGAGAAATTCGACGATAAGCGGCCAGGTGACGCAACCAGGGGTGAAGGAAAAAGGGTCTACGCATGTTTTTGTGTTTTTTTGCTGTAAATTGGGAGGTCGACACAGGAACGTAAAAGGGAGCGGGAACATCGGGCGGAGGATAATGGAGTGCCCGTCGTTTCGTTCCGATCCCGTCCTCCCGTGTGCTCGTCGTTCCGATCTCCTTCGCCTCCCGTGTGCTCGTTGTTCCATTCCAATCTCGTCGTCCCGTGTGCTCGTCGTTCCGATCTCCAACGCCGTCAATGGAATACAGTGGGTTCGTGTATGGGTACAAAGATGTACTAAAATCAATACTAATCACAGATTCCTATTGAAAAAAATCTGAAAATTAGAATTGAGATTTTAATTTTCAGATTTTAATTGAAAGATCTAAAAATACTGTTGGGAGTTAGAATATGAATTAAAATTGAGAGAGATCATATCTGATTTAGAAAATTAGTAGATTCACTGCTAAATATATATTCCAACAAATGAAAAAAAATAATAATAATAATAAAAAAAAAAAACGAAATTCTATAATCTGGTCGACAAGTAAGTATTAGTGAATTAATTTGGACAATTTCTACAGCAGGCTCTATCTCCCTCTCAATTTCTACAAGATCCATGAAATCAACTCTGAGATGAAGAATGAAATATTGAAGGAAGAGGGGAGGGAGGACGTGTTTCAGGTTGCTGAGGCTGAGTCTCTTGTATATTGGTCTGGTTTCTCTGTGTAGTGGATATGTCACCTCTTGGTTTAGGGTTATTCTTTTACTGTCCTAGGGGTTTTGATGAAAAGAATGTTTGAATAAATTAACTATGGAATGAGTTTTTTTTTTTTTTGTTTTTTAATTGGGTGAGGTGGGATTTGGGGGAGGGATGAGCAAGATTGATGGGTGGATTTGGGGAAGAACAGGAGAGGAGAGAGAAGGCCATACCATGTGGAAAAACACACAGAGGGGGGCGGTGGTGATGGTGTATGGGGGTAGTTTGGTAAAAAAAGATAGTCAATAAGGTCAAAGGGTAGCATAGTCATTTTATATTTAAAAATACCTGACAGGTCAATTTGAGGTATAAGTGAAATACAAAATCAATCTTTCAAATATAAGTGAAAATTAAAATCAAAATTTTCATCTAGGTGAAAAATGACCTAACCTTAGGGGATTTAAGTGTTATTTACCTTAAATTTATTGTTATTAATTAGTTGTCTTATGCACACTGCACATGCGCACAATTATTTATTGGTAGTGATAAAAATTTATAATAATTAGTTAGTTGTCTTAAGTACAAAACACATGTGCACAATTATTTATTAGTAATAATAGATTTATACTTATTAATTACTTGTCTTATGAATACTATACAGGCGCATAATTATTTGTTGGTGGTGATAAATTTATAGTTATTAGTTAGTTGTCTTAGGCACAATACATATGGACACAATTATATTAGTTATATAATTTGAAAACATCGTGTTAAAATTTCGCACTCTTATAATTCTGTTTTTGCGTGTGTGAAACTCAAAGGGCCTCACATTTGAAAGTTCACCTAGGGCCTCTCAAAATATTTGGAATCTCAGGGCCGGCCCTGTTTCTATCTCCAACTTCCAGTAGTTGTAATCATGGGTTTGTATCACCCTCTCAAAATTACCATCTTACCTTCAAACTATCACTAAGGGTATGTTTGGTACAGTGAAAAAGAAAAAAAAGGATAACATTAATTAGGAGGGAAAAGAAAAGAAAGAAAATGAGATGATAGTGTTAGTTACTTGTTGTGTTTGGTTAATTAATAAAGAAAAAGAAAGAAAATGATAGTAATTATGTTTAAGAAAAGAAATGGAAGAAAACTATTGTAATGAATTTACAATCATACCATTTTTTATAGAATTT